AGTCCAGCTCAGTCCTGGATCCTACTTAGCCTAAAAAAAAGGACAAAATTCACAAGAGTAACAAAAACTAGGAATATTTTCCCACAAATAATATTGACAGTTGTTTAGTTTTTGAAGAAAGACTTATTTCTCTAGAAAAAGTAAACTCTAGAAACTGCACTAAAACAGCATCTAAGAACCAGATACTTCTTGGAATATAAATTATTACTACTACTCTATAAAATAATACTGAAAATAAATTCTACCAGTTTGATAAAATTTTCTTTCAGAACACGTGATCCTGTTCATAACCTGATAATAGCTTTCAGAAATGCCACCATTCATCACAGTAACATCCACATATCTAAATGTTACTAAATGTATACAGTTATTTTCTATTAAAAGCTTAAAACAGCAGCAATAGAAAAAGAATACAGCTTACCTTCATAAACCCAGTCAGGGATTCCATTAAATATTTTATTTTCTCTTCCATTGTATGTTATTTGAAAAGGTGGGTCTTCTGGTCTTTGTTTCAAATAGATATTGTTTTGATAGACGTAGGCCTAGAAGTGGTAGTAAGATAGTTAATAAGGGGAAATTCCATAAAATATACAACAAAATTTACAATGAAGTCTGTATATTTTTGTTAATTATTCACCTAAGACCTTTAAAAAGAGTGATAATCTGCATTCAAAAAATACAATTAAAATATCTTTTTTCAAAAGGCCATAAAACCCCAACTAACTCATATTAATATAAATTATGATTTTTAAATTTTATATCAAATAAAGAATAAAGTCTACTATTAGTTGTTTTATTACCCAAATAAATGTGCATATTGACAGGAAGTGAAATAAATCTCTGAATATTAATAGTTAGCCAGATCTAATCTTAATTTAGAGTCCTTAAATAAGAGCTTGGACAAAATTTCATGTTGTCTGAAGCTAGTCTGGGAAACTTGTGAAAACCATATTTTTCCTGAGCTTTCTGGCACAGCACATTCTGGCTGAATATAAGGATAAAGTTTTTGACTGCGATATTTAAAGAAGTCTATCCATGAGCTTGAGATTTTGCGGAATTCTCAGATGGGTTTCGATTTATCAAAACTCTTCCCATTTTTAACCACTAAAATAGTCATGATTTTTTTTTTTTCTTCCAGGCAGGGTTATTTAACAAAGGCCAAAATCAAATGGCTCCTTTTTTTCTTTAAATGATTAAACACTTCTATACTTTAAACACTTACTAATTTACTCCCAACAGGCGACCAGCATAAATACTGAATTGGATGAGGAAGCTCACTTCTTAAAAATTCTCTAGAAGAAAAGAAAGACAAATAAATAAGTAAGCCTTGCTGTTCAATGCAAAAATCTGTGTAGACAGAAAATAAACACACAGTGAAAACAAAGGATCACCCTCTGCTTCCTCTATCCAAATGGAAGAACTGTGGCAACGTGGGATAGGAAACGCGGAACAGCTCTTAAGTTCTTCTCTCCTTACTTACAGTCACTTAACTTTTCTGGGTCTCAATTTTCTGACCTTTCTAGTGAAGTGAATGGATGAAAGATTGGTAGACTGTGAATATGGGATTATCTCTAGAAATCACCTAATGGAACCCCCTCATTTTATAGAAAATGTTATGAGATGATAAGAATTTTTTAAAGCACATTGCTAGTTCTTGGCAGAACCCTAATTAAACTGAAGTCTTTTAACCCGCGGGGCTGTAATATTTGTACACACCAGGCTGAGATGGTCGTTGAGTGCCTTCCAGCTCTGAAACTCTGTAATCGTGCTGCAGTTGAATATGTACTCTTGCACATTCTCATTCACAACCCCCATCCTTGTGAATGCATATGCATTTCAAATTTTTGAAAATAAGATGCCATTTGACAATCTCCCCAGGGATCTGACTTGAAATCAGAAAAGGAAAGGAACATCTGATCTCAAGCTAAACTGAAAAACAGATCGTACACTGGGCAGTATGCCTTAGGCTTGCAAAGTCCTCCACCCAGGGGGAAATTTCAAATAGCCTACTGGCCAAAAATCTCACTTTGAGGCTAAGAGTCACCCTGGAAATACTCAGTCAACTAACTGTCTTGTACTATGGAGCTTTCGTAGTTCTTCAGCAAGAATGTGCTCAGATTTTTTGGAGTTAACAAGTCATAGGATGCCATGCTTGACTTTTGATTATTATCTTCTTCAGGAGTGCATTAATAGTTTCATCAAGGATGCTTTTGTGGAGACAAAAAACAACACCTGCCTCTAAAGTACTATATGGGGAGTTTGAAAAAAGACTCCTTGATCAGCGTCTCCAAAAAAAAAAAAAAATCTCTTCGACTTGGATCTAACATATGCCTGATATTTCTACTTTTCTCATTTTTTTTAAGGTTTGGACACTATGAAGACTTGTAATAATCATTACTTTTATTTAACTTACTAGATGGTGCAGCATGAAGCCTAATGAAAATGAGAGAACATGGCACTAGACAGATCAGTTTTGACTGGAGAAAGAGTGCGGCCCCTTGGAGGAAGCAGACCGTCGGCGCTGACTGCCAGAGGGCAGGTGATGAGCGTCAGGCTGGCGGAAGATCCAGACCACACTGAAAGGCGTGGGAGGGCGCAGGCAAAGGAATGACCTAGGGGGGCGGGCATTCTTCACCTGGTTTACCATCTGCCTCGAACCAGGATTCACTTTCCCTTTGACATTGTAACACTGCCTTAGGTTTCCGTATGCCGTGGAATCATCGATGCAATCATACAGATAGCGCCAGGCTGAAAATCTCAGCACACAGTCTCTTCATGACTGGCAAGTCACCACAGCTGCCATTTTCTGTTTTCTAAGTAATTAACAGTGTGACAGGAAGTGGGGAAGCCTGCTTCACAAAGGCTGCCATCGCCTCACTATTCCTTCTCTTGCTTGAAACCAGAACCATCTTTATTTTCTCTGTGGTAGACTTTAATAAACTCTTCAGAGGCACATCGAAGACTTGGAATTAGCAGTATTCAGTCTTGACTTGAATCTTAGCAAATTTGCCATCCCTCATTTCTAAAGTATGCTGTATTTACCTGACAAAAAACCAATCTGCCAAACTAGATAGTTGTGCAGAAAAAAAAAACTGCACAGAAGCAAAATATTTAATTTAACCTAGGCCATAAAGCTTATAGAACCATTATTAAAATTAGTATTATCATCTTCTTTTCTGAATGTTGTTTAATCCGGTGCCCCTCAACATAGGTAAGACATGGGGAAATTCAAAATGATTAAAAGACAAACAAGGAATGATTAAAGACTTCACAAACTGTACTGGAGAAGTTAGGCTTCCATGTCACTAGTGTAAAGGTTTTTTGAGAGTAGGGTTGGCATGTCCAGCTCATTTGTATTTTCCCTTATATGCTTGTCACATATTCAAGCTCAACAAAAAGCAATAAATACTTCTTGAATTTGGTGATGATATGGGTACACAGAAGAGAGACTGAGAGTGCATTAGATGGATTTAGATTGTACTTTACGAAGCAGTTCCTATTTCTTAATTTGACAGTTTAAGGAGATTAGTGTTACTCTTTTCCGAACATTTAAAAGAGGTAGATAAATTTTTTTTGAATTTTTGTGCTCTTGCTTGACAAAAGGGGAAATAGACCATAAAATTTTTCAATACCTCTTCAAGCCATATAATTATTTTTCCCTTTTACATAACAGCAAATAGGATATCACATTAAGATGAGTAACTAAACCAATTCATTGTCCATACTTAGTCAGAGTGATTTTTCTAAAGTGCAAATCTGATCATGTCATTTCCCATTTAAAACCCTTCAGTGATTTCCTATTGTCACCGGAACGATGTCTAAACTCCCTTTTTAATGGTTTCCTTATTATTATTTGGCCCATGCTTCTTGGCCTCAACCCCTTCCCAACCGTAAACCACCTCCCACTAGTCAGCATACCTTCCTCCAAATCCCACTCCACTGATCGGCTTTGAGTTCTGCAACACCCCATGCTCTCTGCCTTCCCTTTGGGACTTTACATACTACTACTTTCACCAGGAATTCTCTTCCTCAGTTCTTCAACTACTCATTTAATTTTTTTCTTTTAAATTGTAAATATTTCAAAGAGTTAAACATACAGATAAAGAAAATAATATAATAGATGGCAATTTACCTACCATCTAAATTTAAGAGATACTAACATTCTACAATTTCAAAAAAATTAATTTAGATTCAAGTACTGGAATATGTGCATAGATACAAGTAATGTTGTATTCTCCTCCCTTCTTCTTCCTTTCAATGAAGTAGCCACTGTCCTACAAATAGGGTTTCATTCCCATGCATGTTTTGGTACTTTTACTACATATACTTACTTTCATAAATTGTATATTTATAATTAGGCATTCAAAAGTAGGGAAAATAAACTATATTGTGTATAAAAATGCAAAATATCAGTCAAATAAAAAGAGGTGAAATTCCAGAGAAGTACTTTCTTGAATTCTTAAGTTTTATGGGTACACATATATTGTAAAGTAAGAAACTAAGATTAGTAACAAGATAATGTAGTCTTAACCTCAGGTCAGAGTTTGGAATGAAAAAAATCTATGTACATTAGATTTTAAGTGTATTAATAAGTAGACATGAAGTTTTACCCATTCCTGAGGTCATAGATGTGATATGTTGCTGTGTAAGAGTATCTCCAAAGCTGTCAGAAAGAAGAGAGGTAAAGTCAAATTATGATTCTTAAAAGACACATCAATAATGAATAATCGTAGGTTATTCAGTTCAAGGCTCAGAATTGTAAAAGGACTATGTTCACACGGCACTAGGAAGGGTATGTTTCAGTTCCAAGCAAGTCTGCATTTAAAGAGTTCTACTGTGGACTTTTGCACTGTTTGTCCAAGTTCCAGAACTAATCTAAGCAATGATTCAACCCTCACTCCATAAAAAGCATATCCAAACACATTTCTTAATATAAAAAGCTTTTTCTTTAATATGCTTTATTATCCTAAGAATTTTCCTTTTGTTCTTTACCTTAATTGAAGTAAAACCACTATGATTTCCATGGCCCATAAGGATTATTCTCTACATGGGTAATTCATAAAGTGAATTTCATTCAGTGTATAGTTTTAATGTAAAATGGTTGCCTTTCTTTGACTATAATCCTGTTTCTAAATAATAAAATTGAAGAAATAAATAGGAGATATATAGTTATAATTCCTCCTGCTCTTTTTTCTCAGTAAGTATATTTGTGCCATGGTTGGTGAATAATGCAAGCGTTACTTTGGATTTTGTTTTTTAAAATGCTTTCAAACTTTTGATAAAGAAGCTCTAGCTCCTTGAAACAAGTCTTTCTGAAGATTGATGGCGACTAGGATCTAAAAGTAATTGTTAGAATTTTAATTCAGCAATACATTACTTTGCCCTTTTGCAAAAAAAAATCATATTGAAGATGTATATGTAGAAAAGATAAGATGATGAACTTCCCTCTATAAGTTTATTCAGAAAAGGGAAATTAAGTGAGAGTACGTGGTCTGGTTCAGTGGGATATTCCTACCCTCGGCTTTTGAAGATACAGATTTAAATCTTGGTCTATGACTGACTACTGTTCATTAATCTTGCTTGAGCAAGTGAGCAAAATAAGCAGTATACTTATTTTTTCATTTTCAGTAATAAACTTTCATGATTAAAATATGGGAGGATTAACTAATGATTTATGATGTCCTATAGCTTTAGAAACATCAGTATAAGTCTCCCTTTCTGATGAATACCAGTGTTCCCAAAAGAAGTTTTCTCCCCATCTGAGGAAAGCACTTTGTACCACTAGATTATAACCAGATGAGTATGCCAAATTCTGAATTGCGTATGTTTCAGTTAAGCTTTCTGGGCTCTTCTAGAACCCACATTAACTTCTTGAATATTTAGAGAGAAAAGTAGACTCTTGCTTCCTTTTACTTTTTTAACTCAACCTGTGGATTAGTAGGCAATATAATACACCCAAATTAAATAGTCAATACCTTTGAATAATCACTCTCTAGATATGCAAATTGCCGATCAGGTGATAAGGCATAATCTGAAGCATTCACACTTTTCTGAAATTATGAAGAAGCTGATTAGAGTACAGAAAAAAATAACAGAGTCATGTAAATTTGAGTTCTACAAGAATAATGAATCACTGATCTACTCCTACATACATATTTTTTCAATATAATTTAAAAAAATGTTTATTTAGTACTTTCTAGATACAAAGAAATTTACTAGATACTGTGGGAGGAGGATGTGATAACCAGATATACTTTGAGATTTCAAGAAGCTTACAATGCTAAACTTGAAAACAAACAACTTATATTACAAATTAGAAAGTTCTATAAAAGAGATATAAATGTAGCATTGAAAAACCATTAAGGAAGAAGTGATTAAACCCAAAAGAGAAGATTATTGATTGCACAGAAGAAAAGTATCTTCTGAGTTTGACTTTAAAAGATTAGTAGGCTGTTGAGGGTGAAGAAAGTGGGAAGACTGAGAGTCTAGGAGGACTGAGTAGCATGTGTCTATATATCATCACTACCATTTATGGAGCATTTATTCTGTTAGGTACTGTCTAAGCATTTTCAAATGCTTCTTCATTTAATTCATACATTAAGCCAAAGATGTACTATTATTTCTACTCTACAGAGGAAGAAACTGAGGCACAGTGATGTTGGTGTCACGAACCTTTCTCAGGGTTCCATAACTAGTAAGTAATAGAACCAGGATTTGAACCTTGGTTTGCCTGACTACGAGGACTGAGTTCTTCACTCTTATCTCATGCCATACTATTTCCACAGAGGAAGAGAGATGCTAGGTGACTTAGAGGAGCCTAGGGCAGTAGTCTAGTGTGACGAGAAGAGAGAACTGGGGAACTGTAGTGGGGGAGGGAGCTGAGAAGGCAGGTTAGGTCCAGATCAGGTGTAAGAATGTAGACTCTGTTTCTTGGTCAGTGAAGAGCTGGCAACAAAGTTTTTGAGGAGGAAGATGAGGTGGGATACATACCATGGTGGTATTACTCAAAATGGTATATGATTCTCCTGTTTCAATGTTATAATATACTACATTATTATCTGTAGATTGATGAAGATATTCTTGTCCTTTAAACAAGAAGGAAAACAAAGCATGAAATGATCTCCCTAACAGGAAATAATACATTTATAACAAAAGGAAACCTCTGATTTCACAGACTTCCTTTGTTTTTCCTCCCTGCCCAGTGTATATTGCTTTGTAAGATTTAAAATAATAAATGGACGGTGGAATGAGGGAAGGATGTTTTTTTCTACTTTACACCAAAAATACAATAGATGCTACTAGCAGCTCTATTTTAACCACATCAGGGTGCTTATAAATAAATTGGGTTTCCTCTGTGTTACAAGAGGGATGAACAAGTCTAAAATGGTATGCTTCTTCTGCAGTGAGAAAATACACTACATTTGGGTTGTATTTGATTTAGTTTAAAGTGTATTCTATATTTATGTGTTTTTTCTATTTTGTTTCCTATAGAGTAAAATGAAAATACTTGATTTTGATTAGTGGCACTGTAGATAAAACCTGTAATGTCATGAGCATGTTAGTTGACCTTACCATTTGTTTGCTTAGACTTACTTGACATCATCCCGTTTTGATAATCTGTAAGGATATTTTGTTGAGATGGGATTTGTCTGTTCCTCAGATTATCCAGGTGAACAATGGAATTTCTCTTTGGGCAACATTCTCATGACCTCTCCTACATGAGGGCGTATCTCCCATTCTGAAAAGCTATTCAATAAACTCGGATTATGCTCATGATGTATTCCCGACTTGTTTTGCTAAAGCTCCAACTGACATCATGACTGCTGGGAAAGTCCACTCTAAATGGTTCTGTCCAAAGTGCTTTGGTGGCCTGATCAAATAATTGTTCTTTTTTCCATTTCAACTGATATAACTTGTTACCATAGAGATGTGTTGGCACTAAAAACAAAAACCAAAAATACGCATTTTTAAAAACCCCAAAAAGTCAAGAAATAATTTACTCACCTGAAATCCAGTTTGGAAAAAATGTTTTGTAGGAAAATGTCCCATTTAAAATATCCTTCAGTGTGAGTGTTCTTGTTGTATTTCCTTCAGAGTCAGGAACTTTGGGGGAGGAGGAAACACATCATTACTAAAAATAACATAAATAACTCAAGTAAATAATAAGCCTCCCTCTCATTTGTTCTTCCTCATATAATGAGACACAAAATATTTAACAACAGTAGGTTATTGTATTCTTTAAAATAATCATCTTATATTCTCTTTGCATCTTAAGTAAAGTTGTACATGCCCTATAATTTTTTATTATAAAAGCTCTTCCATTTAATTAAATGGTCTTGAACAAAATTCATACCACTGATTTTATAATTCCCATTCAATGAATAAAAGATCATTTTACTACAACATGATTAGAATAATTGCAAACTATTTTAATTCAATTTTATTTTACTCTCCTAAAGCAAATTACAATCTATTCCTAATGTAGTCAAGGGGAAATTCTAACACTATTTGCAGTGGAAATCATTTTCCTTTTGAGATACATTTAATTTGTGTCTATACCATGAACATATAGTTGAAATTTCCTATTTAAGTATCCTTGCATATAATTTTCCTTACTTGCAATTATGTTTAATTGAGAAATTAATAGCTTTGATTTATCTTAATTTTCATGGAAGGTTAAATTAAGTGGGCTAATTCAAGAGAAACATTTAGCTCTATGTTTGGCACACAGCAGTCAATAATGTTAGTAGCTTTTGCTGTTGCCATAACTTGTCAGTATTCTTCAAATAAGTAATTCTGATCAGTATTTCACAAACTAATTTGATTTTGAACATTGGGACTTCTACATTTTTGTTTTAAAATATCTGGTAAAATCATAGAATGGGAAATGCAGTTTTAGATTAGGCTATTATACATATAATAAATGTTTACTTTTATTCTAATATAGTGAAATTCATCAGCTGTACTTGAAGTCTTGTGTTCATTGTACAGCTTCATAACTGAAATATCACAATTATGATCATAAATACATTTAGTACTAATGTCACATATATATGTAACTAAAATTCATAAAACATAAGTTCCACGTTATTTTTAAATACTTATTCATTTTCCTTTTCATGTCATTAATAATCATGCGGATCCTTAGCAGATTTCTCAAAAAGATTTCAAGGGTTAGTTATTTACTCTTTTAGAACTTCTAATTTGGATGACCTAAGGAAGTTACATGAGAGTATATATCATATTCCTTCCTAGTTAGTCATTTATTTTAAATGGGTGCACAGTAGCTATAAATGCCAATAATCTATATGGAGAACTTATATGTATATGTCATACTATGACTCAAAATATCTGTGAAGCAATTTTAAACACATATTAATTGTACCGCTAATTACCATAATGATAATAAGCTTTACCAGTACCCAAGAAGTGATGAGTGAATGTACAGAAAACATATCTAGAAGAGCCAGCTATTTTTGTGGAAATAGGGTTCACAGCACAGACTGGGCTTTGCAAGTACTCCTGGCCTCACATGTGGTGCAGCCAGAGCTTTGAAGGAGTGGTTATGCCAGAGTCAGGCTGGGCTCAGAGTGATGCCAAATCAGTTGGGAAGAATTTGAACTAGGCCTTTTTTTCTTTCTGCTGAAAATGACCGTATGTTAATAAACGTAATGGAGTAATATGTCTACCCTGAAATATTGCACTAGTCACATATTAAGAGTTATGAAGCATAAGCTTACTTAGAATTTCCAATCCAAGCTCTCATTCTTTGTATATCTGGAAAGATAATAAACATAATAATGTTTCACTAAACTATCAATGCTGACCCCTCCATCAGCCGCCAGCAGAAATGACCTTACCTTTGAGCTCTAGGAAAATGTCATAGGCTTATTGCTTTCCCCACACTTACCTAAATTTACTGAACATGAATCTTTTTCATCTCTATATATATGTGAATTGTATAGAGCATAGTTCTATACCCATGAGGGTAGTCTGTGCTTGATTTTGCTCACTATTATGCACCTAGTAGCTAGTATAGTGTTTGGCATAGAGTAAAAACACCATAAGTACTTGTTGCATGAAAAAAATAAATCAACTGGATAGACTTTATGTTAACTTGTTTTTCAGTAATGTTCCCCCAAAGACATACCTGCCCTTACTCTCTACCATCCTGTCCATGTTGTGAATTCCATGTGTACATTCTCCTATCTGGACATTTCTTCATTTACATATGTATCAAAATTACATATGTATCAAAAAAGTCTTTGGAATGCTTGTTTGAAAAAGATTGCTAGTCTGGGAATGAAGCCTTAGTAGTTTTCAGTTTTACCAAGTTCCCTACCCCCAGGTGATTCTTATGCAAATAATCCAAATTTAGTGATTGCACTGAATTTACTCAGTTCAATGTACTCCTGCATCTATCCATAGTTGCTCCTTGCCTACTTCTGGCAGGTGGGTGGGGCTGGCCAGCATAAATATCCACACCTCATGGATACAGATTCCCCACACCTAAGGGTTGATCATGGCGTTAAAGGAATGTTAATCGTCTCCTTCAGTGTTTCTGCCCCTCTTTGTCGTCTGGCTCATTGTCTTTGGAGGCTATGTCCAGAAGGACTCTTCTTCGGGTACATTCCCACTCCCATTCCCTAAGGAGAGAGGGCAAGGGGACTGATTCTGCCCAGATGAGTTTTTAAACAAGACTGCAGGGAAAGCATTGGGAGTACAGGTGGGGTACTTTTGTTTTCTAGTGTTTTGAGTGTGTGTGTGTAAATCAGTATAAAATGCATCTCCATATCATCAATCACAATAAACAAGTTCCAGTCACCTGAAAAATATTCCACTAATAACCATTGAATGAATAAATAGTTTTTCATGTCTTTTTCCAAATAATGCTTTTATATTGAAATAAAATCTTTTTATTATTTTAGATGTTTAGTTTTGGCATGTAGAATGTTAAAACTAAGCAGCTGAGCAGAAGTAGAAATGAATTCTGAAAAGCATATCACTCTTCTATACATAGTTGACACTTGATTAACACTTAATTCCTGATAGTGCCGTTATATTCAGTTTGGCCCATCTTTAGCACAGTTACTCATATACCACTTAAACACTCTAATTAACTATATGTTAGTTATTTGCATTTTCAACTTATTAAAGCAAGCTTGAAGTAATTTCAGTTTGGAATCCAAGAAATTACAATTCACAGAAATGAATCACAAGTATGGAATGATTTACTGTTTCCCTGATTCTTTCGTAAGAACTATGTGCTTATTCTTTATTACAATTTTGTTTCTATTTCTTTCATTTAATTTTCTGGTCCTGAAAAACTGGGACTGTGTGTCAGAGCAGGGACATCTGATGGTAGCTTTTATACTCATTATAAGTGCAATGAGAAAATACGGTTCATTAAGTGAGCACACAAACGGCTTGCAGGTGCTTTTGTTCTCACTTTGGTACTTGATTTAGAACTGAGGCTTATGACGTCACCCCTGAGGTGGGATCCCAGCACACTACACCTGTCTTTCTGCTGGCTCTACAGAGATGCTATTTATCAGAGGGCATCATCCCCAGCAATCACATTGGGTCACGTTTGCTCACGGAGTGAACACCACAGGGCCAAGTGTAGGAAATATTAGGGTGGGAAATACACTATTCACATCCTAATATGATCTCTGGGCAAAGACTGACAACTTTGAAAAAAATGGGTGTGAGGTAGCATTAGACCAGTAATAATTTACTAAGTTCTTATACGGTATTAAGATCTCTACATGTATGGTCCCATTAAATAATCACTGCAACTCTGTGACATAAGTAGTATTATTAACATCACTTAACAGATTAGGACATGGGAACTAGAGGGGTGAAGTAGCTTACCTAATACATAACAGAGCTGAGATTTAAATCCGGCTTCATCTGATTTTAGAGGCTGGGTACTTTATCACTATACTATGACTGAAAGTGAAATCCCACATATAAAAACAACATGAAACAAACACACAGAAAAGCCCAAGAACCAAACAACACACAAAGAGGGTAGAATAATTATATCTCAAAATGTAAGAGAAAATTGGACAATTTGAACTTTGTCAAAGCAAAGGGGTCACTTTAAAGCTTTTAATGTCTCATTGCAGAATGTAGTTTAAGTCTCAGTTCTGAAAGCAATTTTCCATGATTCTCTCAACAAACAACACTGAACAACATGTTATTCAAATGAATTGTTTTCTCAGGTTATTTTTAGTCCATTTGTGTATTATGTTACTGTTGCCCTATGCTATTTTACTTAGGGCTATTTTTTTCATGATCTCTAAAGCTTCAAAGATCATAGGACATATAATGCATCAGACAAGGTATGGCAAATGCTATGTCAGTGACTCTGAGATGAAAGTGAATCTTGTGTAGTTTTGAAGGCCCACTTAGTCTCCTCTGACAGCTCATCTTCCTCTACTCTCTACTTTGAATTGTGGTGTGGTTCTTTTTAATGTTACTTGGGGCCTGAGGAAGAGCCATTTTCCCCAGCCATTTCATTCTCCCAGGGTTTCTATTACATATCCGTAGACTCACTCACACCCACATCTGGCCCCCACTGGATTCCTCACTGGATTACAGACCTGTATTAAACTTCCTCCTGAAATCCTCCCTTGCATATCTGCCAGGCACTTCAACATCAGTATGTCTAATGTTAAGAAAAAAGAATTCCAAGCTGTCCCTCCAGATTTCTCCAAGTCAATGCCACTGTCACCCATGTATTTCCTCAATTCAAATACCTGAGAGCTATTCCTGACTTTCCTCTTACTCAAATCACCTCTTTGTTCATCACTCAAGCCTGACAACTCTATCTCTAAAATCTCTCCCTAGTGTGTCTGTTTTTACCCATTTCTACTGCATCCCCAAGGCCTAGCCACTTCTCACTATGTAGGCTCTAATGGGTACCTAATCACTCCACCTACAATTTCATTCCTGATATTTCAGTGTGGTTTTGATTTTCCTAATGACTAACGATGTTGAACATCTTGTCATGTGCTTATTGGCCACTTGTATATTTCCTTTGGTGATATGTCTATCTGCTGCTCATCTTTAAAATGGCTTATTTGCCTTTTAATTAT